CAAGAACTACGCCCATCTCCCATGTAATGGTAATTTACAGAAATACGAAAACTGCGATAAATAAGTAACTATTATTAGCAGAAAATTATATTTTGGGGAAATTTTTGGAAAATAGGCGTGGCACAACCCACTTACGCCTACATATGTATGTGTATCTCGGTATCCAGTTTATCAATATCTCGGCACAATTATCAAACTTGGCGCAGAAAAGCAAAATATGGATGTTGAAAATTTTTTAAATCGGACTAAAATTACCGCCACTTATATCATATAACGGTAAATTTGAGATATACGAAAACCCCGATAATTCAATAACTAAAGACTCCAACTTACAACAATCAGTTAACAAGATACAAAGTTATTGATTTTTGTAAAATGGGCGTGGCACCACCCACTTATGACTAAATAAGTATATATCGATAACCGCCTTATTGATTTCTAAAAACTTGGTCTTATTACTTCAACATATCACTGTTTGACAATGGGAAAATTACACTTGCCTATCATGCAGTTTACTGAAAGATGAAACATCGATATTTAATACGTGCGCCGGGTATATAAAGTTTGGTTTCGCCTGAAACTTATAATTCTTTACTTGTTTAACTTAAAATAGTTTTTCATTATTCGTATCATCAGAATTCGTAGCATAACACGTGGTTCCAAGCCGGTCTACAGATATATGGACGAGTTTTAGGTACAAAAATTGTAACTGTCAAGTCAATTGTCTTATAACTGTAACCTACATGCATACACTCAGAAATATGGGATGAAAGACTAAGGGCCGTGATCGAAGTAAAACCTAGCATGTTTTCATGCTTCTAAGTGCAACGGGTTATATACCTCAGTTATACTATCTATGAACTTATACTGACGTATTAAAAATTTTACTATAACAAATCAAGTTAAGATAAAAAAAAATGTGTCATGCGCCAAACAAACAAACAAACATTGTTACGACTGATTGTTGACTATGCAATGCTAGTAGTACGTGAATGTATCATAGCAAGTTAAAACTGAAAAAAATGTGTTGCAACTGATATAAATGTACCGACGAATTGAGCACAATGTATTGAAGCGGCTGAAGACTTTGGTCTACGCCCGTGGCAGTAAGAAAATTAAAGCAGAAGCAGTATTTGTAAAGTAAAAAAGTATATGAAACTAAGCGCGTATTTAAACTACGTCCATATACATATACATACATATGTAGTATATATAAACTTATTTAGTATATGTGCTAATGTATTTGTAGACCTATACATGTTGGTATGATTTCTTATCTGCATTGGAAAGCATTATTCCGCGCCATTTTTGTGTCTTTTATTATTCTTTTACTATCAGTTACTCGTACTATAGTGTCATAGCCTTATAGTAAATTATTTCTTGGAATCGACTTGAAAGGGCAAACTACGATTTTTATTAGATTTCTTTTATTTTTATGTTTTTGTTTTTATTGTTGCTTTGTGCGTACTTTTTACTAGTAGTCTTTTATGATACTTTCATAACAAATGAAGCATTTGTCTTCCATGAAATGTTTTGGTTTATTTGATTGGACTTTTTTTAATTTGTAGATATTTTTTCATAGGCCAATGTGTGAAAAAGCTTCAGAGGCTTGCTAATCACTTTGCTTATCATCTCATAAAAGAAGACTGCCTAGTTAAATTGGTCTGCTGTAGCGACCACTGTTTCAATTGTTTGAAATTATCAGATTAAATATGTATCATGCTTTTTTTTTGATAGCCGAAGATATTGGCCAGCATTCGATTTCTGTAGGTAGGGTGACCATCCACCCTATTATACTTCTAAATATATAAATATTATTAGATCACACTGCTTCAGATAATACGCTTTTTAAAATACATTTCAGCAAGTTTTATGTCCACTAAGTATGTAATAAAAAAAAAAATGGAGTTTCTTGAATTGCATTTTATTTACATAACACTAACAAAAAACTCAAACATTTTTAACCGACTTCAAAAAAGGGGCGGTTATCTATTCTTCGGAGTATTTTTTCTTCTTTTATGTATGCCACCGCATAACTTTGGACCGCGTGAACCGATTTAATATTTTTTTTTATCGGAAAGAATGTACCTTAAGGATCGTCTCGTATTTTGGTTTAGATCCGATCATTGGATCATGAAAAAATTAACGGTTCTCCTAAATTTGTATATGAGAATTGAAGTCGGTTGTGTTTTTTGCTTAAAAATTACTTTTTTAATAAAAAGTTCTATAAACACAAGATGCGCTCAACTTCAAAAAGAAATAAAAAATGCTACAAAAGAATTTTAATATAAATTAATTAATTAATTCTATGAAATTTTTACACTTTTATGTTCATTTTCCTCGATTTCTGGTTTTTGGTTTTCGGTGGAGACAGGGTGATTTTTCACAATTACCCCATCTTTTTAATATTTCGAATTCCGAAAAAATTAACTGAATTTGTATATTTATTAAGTAGCTCAGTAAGTGAGTATGCATTGCATGCTTTTAGAATAATGTTTTCATTCACAGTTAAACTTTTAAGAGCTCTCAAGACGAACCCAAAAAACCACCCACCTGTTTCTTTGGGTGCCTTTGCTTTCCAGCGTTTTAGCTTCATCCTTCAACTTATGTATAAGTATCTGCTACATACGCTTTCAACTAATTTACAGATTTCACTTTTTGATTACTGCGATAATTCTTGACGTGGTTTATTTATTTGTTTTTCATATCTGGCCGGGTCTCTAAAAGTAAGATATGGTTTATTTGCCTTTCTTATTCGCTTCGCCAGTTTAATCAACTGGCTCAAGCGGTTTCCAATGGTCGTTACATATCTATATGTACATATATATGTATGTATGTACATTACTTGTGTGTACGTATTTACGTTCCCCTCAAACATACATATATGTACATACGTGCATACTTCTACAACCAAACCAGCAAATACATATATATGTATATACTTTATGTATTGGAAAACAAAAAAAGAAACAAGTATTTATTAAACCTTAGCAATGCTGTGATAATAGATATGCTTCAAGAAGGTATGTATGTACATTAGGGTGTCCCAGAATATAAGAAGTACTTTTTTGCGAAATTTGATATGCATATGCTATGTAAAGTGGCGGTCAAAAACGGATGAGTGATGATTCGATTTTAATATTTACAAAGTTTTTCAAGCTAAAATTTTTTTGATATTTTTTTTTTATAAAAATTTGGTTCATGATTTAACAAAAGCTATTTAAATCACACTTTCAAACTTTATACAGAACTTAGAAAAATTCCAAAAATATTTATCTAAATTTCGAGTTTTTGAACCAGAATATTTGGAAATTTTTCTAGTAAAATTAGTGCAATTTTTGAGCGGCTAAATAACGGCATTGATTTTTAAAAAATATTATTTCTTTTTGTTCATAGCGTTTTGTACTTTTTCCCATATAATCATGAATTTTTTGTGGAAGAAGACCTTTTACGAAAAAAATAAAAAAAATCAACGCCATGTTTTTGTAAATTTCGCTTTTTGTATGAAAAAAAAAAACACTTACAAATAGCTTCCATCCAACTGATTACTCAGATATGTGGTTTGGCTTCTAACTTCATCATAAAGACAAAGCTAACCGTGTTTTTGATGAACAAAAATAGTGCTGAATTTCCTGCATAACTGGAGGAGTTATAACGCAAAACCACGTTTTCGATGATTTTATGGAAGAGTTAATGTAATATCAAAAAACGGTCATGTGCGCCATTGAATTTAGAAGGCTGCAATTAAGCAGAAGCAACTATCAAGACTACACTACAAGAGGGACCCTCATTAAAAGAAGTTAATCAGGGGTTTTACACACTCTTCTAGTCAAAACTTATTTAAAGCATTTTACATGTGTATGTAATGTTATATGGAAAAACGAAAAAAAAATCCTGTAACAAATTGACTTTTGGATGGAAATATCTTCTACACACCACGATCTAAAATCTATATAATAATAATAATAATAAATTTGCACTTAGTGTTTGACCGAGCTTCTCCTTCGATTTGATGTTGTCACACAAAGGGGAGACCTACAGTTCTACGCCGACTCCGAACGGCGTATTATTTTTATGAGAAGCTTTTTTTCATGGCAGATATACACTCGGAGGTTGGCCATTGCCGCCGAGGGGCAAGCGGTGTTAAGAAGAAACCTATGTTTTTGCGATGTTGCTTTGACCAGGGCTTGAACCCAGGCCCTGCGGAGCGGTTGCACGCACTGCTGACCACTACACCACAGCGGCCTAAAATCTCTGTAGTTACGCCAAAACTTTACTGTATATTTTATCGTATGCTACAATGCACTTTTTCTTGTGGGTGAGATTATCGTATGTTTCATACAAAAGTATTTTGTAATAAAGGATAAAATAAAATAAATTTGTAGTAAAGGATAAAATAAAATAAATTTGTAGTAAAGGATAAAATAAAAAAAAAATTAAAAGTAAGAAAAACGCCCAACTGTAAAATTTTGTTTCTGGCACATATCATAATTTCTCGCAAATTGGTTAAAAGGAAAGCTGACGTTTTTATCGGGAGTGGTAAGTTAGATTTGAAAAACTCTTTGAAATTGATTTATTGCAATTTACCGCAGTTATAAAAGGACTTTGCTTCAATGCATATAATTCCAAATATTACACAGGTGCTGTTAATCAGCATGGTAGCACTATGAAAGCTGAATCTAAGCAAAATATAGGATATCAAAACCAAAAAAATCTGGTAATGTCATCCTATATCTAATGAAAGGTGTACACACCACCAACGACAATTGACTTTACAGCGTTTCGGGTGTGGGATCTTTATAACCAGCCTTTGCGAAAACATTGTGGCAACGACAAATAAGAGTATAAAATGACCTTACCGGGCCAAATAAAAACCTACCCACTTTTGTTGGGTAAAGCAACAGGTGTTTCGGATAAATTAAAGCAATATTTCCTCTATGCGCCAATTGTTGTTTTAACTTATTGTTAGCAAATCCAACCAGGTTTATAAAAACACTTACCGTGCGCCAACAATAACTTGATTTCGCGCCACATCAAACAACATTTGCGAATAGTAAGTCGTATTTAGATCGTTGAAACGTTTCGAAGTCGACATCAAATCTATAAAAAAAATACATTAATAAACTACGATTATTACGTATGTAGTAGCATAAAAGAGTGAGGGAAATGTGAATTGCATTTAAAGACGAAACATTAAAACTGCCGGAAATAAATTCACATAAATTGAGCATTTTTGAATGTTTTAAAGGCGCTTAAAATTTCAAAGCGCCATGTTTTATGATAAGAAGGACATAAAAAATGCATTGCTGAATGCAAATATTGCAAACTGTACATCAAATCCGAGTTGCTTGTGAAAGCCCGAGATGATTCATAACTTCGTGTACTTCAGTGGTGGAAAATAATAGAAATAAAAAACTTTTATAAGTTTTGGCTATTTTTCTTTTGTTTATCTACTGTTAATTAATTTTTTATAAAAGCCTAACATTCATAAAAACAACATTTGTAACTTTGTACAGAATCACAAAAAATTTTAAAATTGTAAAATTTTTTTTATTTTTTTTTTATTTTTACTCAGAGAAATTAGAAAAATTCTAGGTATGCAGTTTTGTAGCCCATTCAATTTTAATACAATGTAATGTAGAAGTTTCTAGTGTCTAAAATATACAGCTGATTTTTGAATTTTTTTGAGAAAGAACGATCTATAAAAAATAAATGCGGTCTTTTACTAAAAAGTTTATGGCACCTATGTACGTAGTGCTACATATTTTAGTAAAAGAATACTAAAAAGACGTGCCTCGGGCTATTAACGTTTTGATTCTAGTAATGTATTTTAAGGTGCACTTCAACTTTTTTTGAAATGTCAGTGGGACTACTCTGGGCCTCATGGCCTCATACTATATCGAGGGCTTATCTACAGTTTTCACAGATATGAGCTTCCCATACAAAAATCCACCTTAGACTTAATTGTCATCGATGATATTAATGGTGGCCTTGTATATCGCCTGTCAGAAGAATTAACTGCAGAATTTCAAAATTGTGATGACAGTTAAGCCTCAGATGGCTTCAAACATCAGCAAGTAGTTTTTGTATTACCTGCAGATAGGTCGTATGGAATATAAGCCCTCGATATGCGGTTTTTTTTGCAAAAGGAAAATATACTTGTCAAAATTGTTTGCCTCTATTTTTTTTTCATGACTGTAAATTGGTGATGTAAGTATGGGATATATATATTTTCATATGCATGTAGTTATCAGCACTTTTGTGGTATTTTTATCAACCTTAAATATTTAATTAGCCGCAACAGCTAAGAAATGCAGCTGAGTTTAAGCAAACTTTGCACAAATCTTAAGGCAAATACTGCTATGCAATTTAAGTTTTTTTTTTAATTTGTAAAATACCACGAAAACATACAAAATAAAATTTAATCAAGTCAATCAAACCCTTAATTTACGTTTTAGTTTTTTCTTTTCCGCAATTTTACGCTTTCTTCACTGAATTTTATAAAATATTTTGATTAACAAAAACATTTTATGCAATACATTTTATTTACCTTGGTATGAAATGAAGCGGGAATCGTTATCCAAGAGTTCGTAATTGGCCGCCTTGTGGCGATAAGCTACTGTCCACTGTTGCAGACATAGCATTGCTGTCAGCAACAGCAACAATAATAAATCTGTTAACATTTTATGGAATTCCAGGACTGTTATGCTGAAAAGAGAGTGTGTAAAATAAGTTTATGTTGTTAATAGCTATAGATAGTTTATAAACATATTTAAAGAGACAATTTAATATGCATTGTAAGTTATTATAAATAAATATTTGTGCATGTAAAAAATTTTGTATTTCAACTTGTTAAGTATCTCTACACTCGTATATATTACTTATGTGCATATATCCATAACGAATCGACCTTCGTACCAGGTCGTTTGACATTTGTTAATAATAATACAGGCCGACATATTTCGGACCCTGGGATCAGCTTATACCAGCAATTGGCAGAGAGAGGTTTTATTCTGCAAGCGTCTATACAAAATGCATAGAATGCTTAAAGAGCTTTGCCCGAGGTTAAGGCATCAAGTCGTAATCGATTACAACTCTAAATTCTTTAGCGGCGTTTTAATTAATTATTTGTATGAATTACGCAACGCATATTGGGGACGGACCCCATTTGGCAGTGCGCCACTGGGTTGTGTAAGTGAGGACCATGATTGTTAATTCTAAACCGGTGATGGGCACCGCCTTGCCCGCGGGCAAAGCTCTTTTGAGCTTTATATACATTTTGTATTGTCGCATGGAGAATAAAAGTTCTCTCTGCCCGTCGCCGTTCTAAACCAATTAGATCGATCATTTTAACTTCCAGATCGTTTATCATTAGGACGAACTGTCTACTTATGCAGTAATTTTTCATCTTCTATGCAAGAAGAGTTCTTGTCTTAAGTCTTTCGTTGACCTAATTTGCATAATTACCTCTCAATTTTATTGATTATTTTTAATATTCAAACATTTGAAAATAATGGATCGCTATGAGAAAAATTGTACTCTCGCTTCCATTCTTCATAGTTCAGAGAAGATTTGTCCCCATTTCGTTCTCTGTCAGAATGTTACGGAGACTTTTGTTCCCATTTTGTGCTCTTAAAAATGTTCCCCAAAAGTATTGCAAGCATCTTGTTCGCTTTGGGAACGTTCCCCGGGGCTTTGTTCTTATATAATCCCCTTTGAAAACATTCTCGGTAATTTTTTTCTCACTTTAGTTCTTGTGAAAACAGTCCCGAGGGGTTTGTTATCATTTCGGTTTGGGGTTTTAAGCGTTCTTGAGAACAAATTTACCAAAGCGACATTTAGTTTTGATCATACTTAACTTAATACATTATTGTAAGTACTATAACCAACTCAAAAAAACAAATTTTTATAATATATACATACATATGGGCACATACATATGTAAATACTCTAAAATTTCATTTTTCACAATTAATCACAATTAATAAAGACTTACTTTATTGTTCAATGATGTTTGCGTTCTTTAAAACAGTTTGTTCAACAAATTTACATATATGTATACATAATTCACGTATCACTTTATTATTATTATTTTTTCTTGTTTCAACAATTCAAATGTAAACATAATCAATTTAGATTTAATTTATAATTTACATTCATATTTTTTATAATATTTATTGCTTTTTGCATTGACTCACATTTTTTCACAACTTTTCCATCTATCACTTTTCCGATGTCTATTCTTTTTACAGAATTTTTCTTTTCCTAAAAATCATTTTTCATTTCTAATCACTTTTCTTAACTCCAATTCTCATAATAGCCATTTATAATAGCATATCAATCACTTAAATAGAAAAGTAAACAAAGCCCGAGTTTGAAAATTTTAGCTTTTCGCGCAAACCGCTCGTTCACTTGAATCTCTCGCAGTTGTAGTTCCGTAGCGAAATATGCGCGCGCACTATTTCACCGCCAACAACTGCCAAAACGAAACTGAAAACTCCAACTAAATCGACCAACTCAACCAGCTACTAAAAATGCAAACAAGCAATACTCAGAGATACGAGCGTCGTATATATGTATGTATATATGGATATGCATATACATATATACTAAATTCATACATATTTTTATAGGAACAAATGTTTTAGTTGTATGTGTTATATGCAGCATATTTAGATACCCTATAGGAATATGAAAATGTTTAGGAACAGGTTTCGCTTTAGGATCGCCTTTTTTGAAAGTTACCTTGCAGATCGAACAAAAAAAAAAACGATTTTTGTATCGATTCGAAACGAAATAAAAATAATTGATGGAGAAAGAAATTGTCAAAATATAAATCGAATATATAGGGAAAAGACTGATAAATAGTATAAATATATACGATTCCTAATATCCCCGCCAAGTTTCAGCACGAAATTCGTGATAGTTTTGTGAAAACACCCAAAGGCCAACCCGAAGAGAAACTCTGCGATCCGACCAACACTGAAATTACAAACATTTGTTTTAAGTAATTTTTAAAACATAAATTTTTATGACGGTTTATCCAAAAGCTATCAGATAGCTCGCAAACCGTAAATGAAATTACAAACATTTATTTTAAGTAATTTTTAAAGCATAAATTTTTCATGACGGTTTATCCAAAAGCTATCAGATAGCTCGCAAACCGTAAATACTTTTGAAAAAAAAATGTGAGATAAGGATTTCCTGTGTATGAGCATTCAACAGAAACTTCATAAATTCTTAGCCCCACTTGAGAAAATGATTACATTTTTCTTCGAAAAAATTCAATGGACCACAAAACTGCATACTCAAACTTTTTCAATAAAGGTAATTAGGGTGCACACATTTTTAATGTTTTTGTTGTAGACTTAGCCATAACCATAACCAAAAAATCTACAGAAATTCGAATCGGGAGGGCCCGACAAATGATATTCGATTTAAAAACCGCATTTCTATTTGCAGATCGTTTTTCTATAAACATCCTAAAGGTATTGCAGAAAATTAGCACAAAAGTTTTTTTCACGAAAGTTTTTGTTGTTTTTATGTAATTTTTTGGAAATATTTAGCAACTAAAGGAGAAGACCCCTTTACAAATTTATAGTAAATATTTGTAGAAGTTAATTAGGAAACGTTTTTTCTAACAGCGGTCACCTCTCGGAAAGCAATGGCAAACCTACGAGTGCATCTCTGCCATGAAAAAGCTTCTGATAAAATCCATATGCCGTTAGGAGGCGGCGTAGGTAGGCCCCTACATTTGTGGAACAGTAACATATTTGTGCACAAGAGCGCTCGGGTATAAAAAGAGAAAAATTCCATAAATTTTGTTTTGTGTAAAAATACTTTGGTCTAATTAACGAGACTTTTTTTCAAAAATAAGAAGGAACACTTTTATTTTAACATTTTACCAGAAAAAAACATATTGCAAAGAAAAAATCTGTTTATTTTCATAACAAACTTTCTTTCACAGAGTCAAAAATATTTTGTTATGAAAGAATTTTAAAAATTATAATCAATACAAGGAAGAAACATCCGATTTTCATTTGCAATTCATTCGGCAAATATCGTATAATTGGGATTACTCCATCTATTACTTTATATCTTAATTCAAAACATGCACTGGCGATGAAAACCGAGTGCATGTATGACATTTTATTACTTACAGTAACATAACTTTTTTAATAATAAGCGGATTGCTTTGAAATTTTCAGCAATTGGTCCTTATTGTCATAGGAATAAAACCTAGTATACAGAAAAACTAAACTTAAAAAAGAAACAAGCGATTCACCGCCAAAAACTTTTTGAACTTTTCTGTTTTGAGATTTTAGGAGGTTGATATCAAGACGATTGTGGTGCCCTTGTTTTCAATAGCGATTTTCGCCATTTTAGGAATGCTCTCTACTGAGTTTTCTATGATTTCGCTTGGAATATTACCCCAATATAATTTTACTCGCCTCCAAATCGCTTCCATGTTACTCGGAGCTCGCTTCATCCTTTGGATCTCCGTCCTGCTGGCAAACAACTTCTTCCTCTGGGTATGCGCTTTTGTCTACAAAGTCCGGAAAATTTGTTTGAATTAATCAAAAAGTGTTCCACCGTCTCATCTTCTTTAAGGCAAGATGGGCAAATGGACTTGTAATTTACGCCTATCACAGTCAGGTATTTGTGCTACGTGAAATGACCAGTCCGCAGTCTAGCAAGTTGTCTGCAACATGAGTTTTGCCCACCTGCATCCCCTCGATGCCTCTCAGTCATTTCTGAGCGAAGTATTCACCCATTTTCTGATTTTGGCTTCAATTGCCGAAGGTGGGAGGTGCGGACCGAGGATTGCCTGGTCTGAGGCAACTCTGGCCAAATGATCAGATGTCTCATAACCACGTTTTCCAGAGTGACGTGGCACCCAGAGTAAAACAACCTCGTTATGTTCACCATCATATTTTAGTCGAGATTTGCATTGCCGAACTAGTTTGGAAGTACTTAAATAGAGGACTGGTCAATGCCTTAAGTGCAGCTTGCTTATCACTGCAGTCCTCCCTTCCCCTCCACCTATGTTCCACCACGTAGTCCATGACTTTGAGTATTGCAATTACCTCAGCCTGGAAGACCGAAGCATATTCCCCTACAGAAAAGTGAAGCTTATCTCCACTATAGTCGAAAAAGATCCCAGATCAGATGGATGATCAGATCCCCCAGATGAAATCAAATCAGCATTCAGTCTCAGGGAACCCAACATTATAGAATCTCTTCAACAAGTAATGGTGGCGTACTATCCTGTAGCATTGAAAAGACACAAGTGCTTAAATCTCTGCCAACGGCAATTTTCGCCCCACTCATTGTCATACCACCCACGGTTCTGTTTAGTCTGCATGTGGCCTTTGAGGCTTCCCCACTTATGAAAACACTAAGTGACGGTAAGTGCAATTTTCGTGGACCCCCATTTACAACTCATGGACTCCCATATTTTCTTCACGTCACCGCGGACCCCCGTCGAGTCTCCGGTGGCCCCCGGGGGGTAGACCATGAAGGACATAAAATTAAAAATTCAATATTCATTAATTCTGTTAATTTATTTAACTGAGAAAAAGCTAGAAAACTATTCACTTTTAACTTGACGTACGACGTCGCAATGTCTTAAACTCTCAAAATTTTTCAGTATGAAATAGCGATTAAAATGCTTTTAGATGGTTCGTAGGGTAAAAAAAAGTTGATTA